CAGCTCTAATGTTTCTCAGCCATGAAACATGCCCTCGTGCTTTCCACTATACATGTAGCAAACCTAGAACTGCTGTGGTGTATTGCATTTAATGCATGTGTGCAGAGCATCTGACTGCACAACCAGAGGGCCCACTTTGTGCTCCCCAGGAGCACCAGCATATTACAAATGCATCCAGCCACCTGGAAGGCTTCAGAGCTCCTGCTATCCCCTGTAGCACAGCACACACCAGTAATGCTCCAGCCAGACAGAAGTATGCCTGGAAATCCCTTGCTCCACTGCGCAGTGGTCAAGGCTGACACATATGCAAACTGAGAAGGTCCTCAAAATCTGTCTGGCTGCACTTCTAGGGCATGCCTGGAAAAGCCCCGTGGCACAGAGACCCTGGGCTGCTCATGGGCTTGTGCCTGCTTCTGCTTTGTAGAGGAGGCTGTTCTGCAGCCCTCATTCCACCTTACCTCACTTTCTGACTGCCTTCAGAGGCAGTTTCTCCATAGGTAAACAGAAGGAGGTTGGTATCATTTCATCATTCAAAGGAGGACCACGGCACCTTTTCTGCACTGGCAGAAAGATAGTTGGAAAAGGCCACAGAATGCTGGAACAGAAGCAGGTAGCATCGTGCTCCTGAGTTCTCTGACAAATTAGTTTTGCTCTGGAGAGCAATAAGCAAGCACCAAGAGAGATTTTAACTTCGGAGTCGCAATGCTGTAATGGGGTGATAATGGCAGGGTGGCAAAGTCTTTGGCTACAGCGAATGAGAACAAGCCCAAATGCAGCAGCCACAGATGCAGAAATGAAGAAAAAGAGCTGCTTACCTTTGGAAGGCCTCAGGTAGGCAGGGATCTCCAGCAAGAGATGCCCTCACCTCCACCACCAACCCTTAAATGAGGGCTGGGCAGGGGTGGATCCTGGCTCCATCCCTTCCCATTGCATGCACCTGAGCTCCCCTGGGTTGGCCCTGCCTTCCCACCAGTGCTCCATCACTGCTTCAGGCCATAAGTTAGCATTTCCACTACAGGAGTGCTGTTCTCTGTAGAAGCCTTTTCCACCTGGGAATTGTGCCCTGCAACTTGGTGAACTGAGGGGTGCGGAGCTGGCAGGGTTTCCAGCCTGCTGAGCCTCAAGGAAAACATGGAAGTCTCCTTCCTCTCAATCCAGCACAGCCATTGCTGCAGCTGCCCTTTAAGCTGTGCTCAAGGGCCCTCAGACTGGGGACCAGTTCCCCCTCTGGTCTTATGTCTGTTACTCACCTACATCTCTCAGTTGAAGATCCCCACAAGGGCAATCCCTGTTTGTTACTTGTCATCCTCAAGACTTCATGACATTGCTGAACACCCTACAAATAAAGGAGAACAAAGAGCCAAGGGTTTTTCCTTAAATACAAGTCTCTGCTCATGTTTGTATCTGGTGGTGTGATACTGTAAACACCAAAGGTCAAGGTAACATTCCCCAGATCTTTAGGACGGAATAGGCACTGATCAACTGCTGAGCCCCAACAGTGACCTCAGTTGTGCCTCCCCCTTGTTCTGACTCAGCCATCCGTGGGGTCAGCAGAAGGAAGGAGCTGTGTCTTCAAGCACTCTCCTCTCAGAGTTGCATTCTGAGGCTGTAGGGAAGGAATATCCCAAAGCATCCTTGAAGGCAGTGCCATTCTTCCCCATAGATTTTACTTACTTACCAACAGCTCGTTGCCCTTGCTTGGATTGTCCGCCTAGAATTAGTTAAGCAGCATCCTTAACCAGCAGGGAACAGCCATGTTCACACCTGTTTTACTCTTCTCAAACGCAAAAGCCAAGCAATAACAGGGAGGAGGCTTTTCAGAGCAAACCCTTTGCCTGATTCTCACCAAATTGCTTGCAGAGGGACGGTTTTCCTCTGTGCATGAGCCACATTCAGAGCCGTCTCTCGCAGGTCAGTTCACAGCACTGCAAAGTGAAGAGCTTCTGCCATGACCATTCAACTCTGGGAGTCTCATTTCCAGAGACAGATAAACAAAAAGCCACAAGACGTGGGGAAAATGGGTAATGAGAGAGGAGTCAAAGAGGTAGATCTATCACATCAGCGATGAGCCCAAAGAGGGTTTGTGAAGCAGAGGGTAATGACAGCAGCCTGCCACAGTGTGGAGAGGACTGATTGTGAACATGGGGCAAAAGAAATAAGGGAGGATGTTTCTGAAGGGCTGCAAACCCGTAATCCTTACAGAGCATCAGGGACACTGCTGCCACTGTTGTCCAGCTAATTCAGGTGCCTCATGAAAAAAAGGTGCCTCATGAAGAGGCACCTTTCACACCTTGAGGTGTTTGCAATGGCAGCGAGGTTTGCAGGCAGCTAAGGTAAAGCCCTCCTGCACTGTTTTCTCTGGCAACATCTCACTGATGGGTGCTGGAAGACACCTGAGGGTGATGTCAGGGTCCAAGTTTTCCCATCTTTTGCCTTGGAGGTTGCCGCGTTGGTCTGGGGAAACAGGGCTCTGGGTGCCCTTAGCAGCCTTCTGCTGGCTTTCCTGCCCTGGCAGGGTTAGAGAGAGAAGATACACCCAGCAGACCTTGGAGCCAAGCAGATGGTTTATTCCCTCTGGATCCCTTGCTGGATTTTGCTCTGGCTCCCAGTCCTGAGGAGACTCCTCCAGCCTAGCTGATCTCACAAGACTGGAAATTCCAGCTGCAAACTCAGATTGCAGCACTTCCCATTCTAAACATTGTCAGTGAATTGCCACCACCCCACCGCAGCCCCTCCTGCCAGCCTGACCTCTTTGCACCCTTCAGCTAATTACAGCACTTCCCCATCTCCTGCAGGACACAGATGGAACCCAGCATCCCACTGCTGACCGCCCCTCCAGCCCTTCCCTGCTGGGCCTGCAGCGAGAATGCAAGCAGCAAGAGGAGGAGAGGGCTCTGCATATTCCACCCTTGACCCTGCCGTTTCCCAGGCAGAAATTCAAACAGGACCTCTCCAGGAGGGGAATCAGGACATCTCCCCAGGGCGCTCCTAGCTATTGTGACTCCTCTCCTCCACCCCAGGCAATGTGTGTTTGCAGTTACCAAATGCAAATCACATTTCCCACCCTCCTGGTGGAATCTCTCCCTTCACAGTATCCTTCCCCTCTTTTCTTCTCCCCAGCTCGTTTTGCAATGCTCTGAGGAGTTCGCAGCCCCTCCCAGCTTCACCTCCCTGTGATCTTGCGGTGTGGGGGTGGCTATGGGGAAGGTATTTAAGCAGTCCTCCTAATTAAGTACCTGCATCACCTCTGTACTCAGGTCCTGGGTTGCAGCTGAAGCCTCCCTTTCTGAGGAATGCTGGTGACTAACTCCTAATTGCATTTTAAAAGACAAACAGGAGATAGCTCCTCTGCCCTTGCAGCTGCAGCGGAAGCCTCCCAGCTGTGGCCTTCCCGTGGCTCTGGGAAGGCAGTATGTCAGCAGCCAGACCGAGTCAGTGCTGCGCTAACAACTGATAATGATGGTTAACTCACTTGGTTAGCCATGTGAGCATATGCTTCACCCCTGAGGATTTGGGCTTCCAGCTCCCAGCCTTGTTTCGAGCCGCCTCGGACTCTCAGCTCTTACTCACTGTTCATAGAGAAACCTGGAGCACATTAAGTGGAGGGGATAGTTTACAACAAAAGCTTATGAATTGATTCTGTGACCCAGCTGAGGCTGTTAAAAAATGATTGAATGAATATGAAAATGAGTAATCTTACAGCTGGACTCAGGGCTGAGCACAACCAGCTCCATTCAATGCAAACCACAAATTACACAAGGCGCACGCAAGGCTGCCAGAGCCTCTAGGTCGTGGTGGGAGCTGCAGGAAGCCATCCTGGGATCTCAGGCACATCTACCTGCACTCCTCGTTCTGTGGGTTCTCCTCAGCACACACGTGCTTAAATTCACCCCTTCTCTCCAAAGGCTGCACGAACTGGAATCTCATTCTATGCAAGCACTTCTCCAACTCTCCTGCTAAAAGCAGTCATGGCAACTGAGGGAAGGATGAGGTGAATCAGGACCCTATCCTCGATGCACACTGTGCTCCAACCCACATACATGCAGATCAGAAAATGAGCCCCAGCTGCCTCTGTTTCCAGCTACCAGAACCTTATACACTGTGCTTCGCGCTCTCCTTCCAGCCTTCTTCTCTCTGGGGTCAGCTGAATGCCAAGGTGGGAGGAGGTGACACGTAGTTCTGTCACAGAGGCATGGTATGGTACATTTATTTAAGCAGCACGCACCAGAATCCCACTGACAGTGAGTCTAAAGAGTTATGCTTATTTCTTCAGGAGTCCCGTCCTCTCCCCAGGCCAGTGCAGCACACCTGGGGTCAGGGGGTGGAAGGAGAAACTTCCATCAGCCACAGCTGAAGTCTTGTAACTGTGAGACCTGCAGCCATCTCCATGTGGGTCGTGGAGGAAAGCGATGAGTTCCGTCTCCTGGAGCCGTCACTGACTCTGCCTCTGCTCTTTATTTCAGATGCTGCAAAGAGCTCTGGAACAGTGTTTGCCCATGAGGAGGAACATTCAGTGGTGTTGGGTGAATCCACAGAAGAAACCTGGCTCCAGAGGGTCTACCAGGACCCCCTCAACCTCAGCGGTTTTCTTTCTGCAGCCTTCCCCCCATGGACAACTCTTTACCCATCTTCTCATCCATCACTCCTGGCTTTCAGGCCACTGTCAAAAGCCTCCTGCAAAAGGACAATGGCAGTGCAGAGTCCCCATTCACCCCTGGAGAACAGGGCCGAGTGATAAATGGTTGTCCCCAGCTGGAGACAGAGGGCCAGATGCTGATCCACTGCAGGAGGGCAGCCCTTTGTCTCACTCTGGTGAGACAGAGGTCGTCCTCTGGTTTGAGGCTTCCCATCATCACCCAGTTTGAGGTCTTCTGTTGTAGTTCCAGAGTCCAGGCTTGCAGCACAATCCCCTTCAGAGCACTGCTTGCAGATGGTGCCTGTTCCCCAGCTGCACACTGGAGGACTCAACACACGTCCTGCTGCCTGCTTGCTGCCCCACACTATTTACAGACATACCTCTCCACCGGCCGCCGGCATCTCTTGCACAGCACGTAGCAGCACCAGCGGTACTTGCAGTGACACCTCTCCACCACCTCCTCCACGTAAGCGTTGTAGCCGCGGCCACAGCACAGCAGGTCGCAGCCATCACTGCCCGCTGATGTCTTGTTGCACTGCCTGCCAAGGGGGGATGCATGGGTCAGAATGAGGCAGTATGCCTCCCACCCACAGTGCTGGTGCCCACCTGGGCGGCCCTTAGAGCATATTTGCAGCTGGTCATTACCTGTCCTGTGTCCCCACAGACCCCAGGTGGACATTGGGCATGCAGTAGTCGGGGGAGTGAATCAGATAAACCAGGTCCGTGTCTCTCATCACCCTGATGTCTGTTTCCGTGGGCTTCAGCTGCTTCCTGCGCCCCACGAGGCGGTGGCTCACCCTGATGGCTGCCAGGTACTTGGATTTGAGCTCGGAGGCAATTTCAGCCAGACTCAGCAGTGCCTTCCAACAGGTCTTCACCGAACAGGAGCCTGAAACACCGTGGCATTTGCACTTGGTATCCAGGGACTCACTCAGCACCTGCAGAGGGTGGAAACAAGAATTTAGTGGCTGCTCCTGGTTCCTACTCCACTGACAGGTTTGTAAGAACATCCACGGTCATTTTCAAGAGATGGGAGAGCTGAGCTGCTTACTGCCACCAGAGACTTCTCTCATTTAGAGGTGAGAGACAGTGGTGCTGTTGGGACATCCAGAGAGTGCCTTCTTTCAGTGGAGCAATTGAGGACTCATCCTGCTTTGTTCCCTTTGTAATAAGAACCTGACCCTTGGGAAGTGCCCTGGTGGAGCTTGTAGTGGGGTGGCAGCTTCCCCAGCTCTCACAAAGGCTCAGGAACTGTGTCCTCCCCTGGAGCCTACCTCCTTATCTCAGGCACCTCTGCACCCTGCGTCACAGAATCATCGAATCACTGAGGTTAGAAGGGCTCTCTCAGATCCCCAGCCCCAGCCCACCCCTGCATCCCTCAGTGCCACATTCTCATGGTTCTGGGTCACCTCCAGGGACAGTGGCCCCATCACTCCCTATGCAGCTGTGCATCACCACTCTTTCCAAGAAGAAATTTTTCCTAATATCCAACCTCAAGGGGCCGTGGGCCGTACCCACCTGCCTGCCTGCCACGTTGTTATGCCAATTCACGGCCCTCAGAGCCTGCAGTCCCAGCTTGTTGGATTTTAGGGGGCTGTCAGCAAAAGCAGCACCGAGCTGGAGGCCGTAGTGCAAGTTGTCCCCGCAGCCACCCCATCTGAAATCCGGTCCAGGGAGCTCGGAGGGCACGGAGCCGCAGGAGCAGAGCGGGAGTGACCCTGAGGCACAGGCTTGGGCAATGGAGTGTGCGATGGCGGCAGCAGAGAGCGCATGGACAAAGGCAGATTCCCTGGTCCCTGGAAAGAAAGGGGGAGACGTCTCATCTCCTGCAGATCGAATGGCACACGATTAACACCGGTGTAATGGCTGCAAGTTTTCTCTTCTTTACCTTTCAGCAGGTCAGGACCGAAGCTGGGGGCACGCTGGATGGAGGAGCAATTCCACCTCATGCTGGAAAAGGTCTTCTGGCAGATGCTCTTGGTTTTGCTGGCAGCCTGAACGATGCTGTGCATGACCTCCAGGTTCCTGCGGCATATCTGGACCTGGTCAGGCACGAGCCCAGCCAGCAGCCGGCAGTGGTGGATTCTGTCCCAGGACACTGCGCTGCCGTTCTCTGCCAATGCTCTGTTGAGAGAGGTTGTGTTGTGAGGGAACCACAAGCACAGGGATGGGGATGAGCAGACGGGGATGATGGGCACTGGGATGGGGGTGAGAGGTTGGGGATGAGAGGTTGGGGTCTGCAGGCATTGGGATGAGGACCCAGGGAATGAGAGATGGGCAGACCCCAGGGAACTGCTGCAGGGGACACCCAAGGGAGCCTCCTCCTGTCCCCCAGTTGCTCTCCATTACTCACAGCCACTGGATGGCCATGGCGAGCCCCAGCTGGCAGAGCAGCACTGCAGCAGTGAGCACAGCGAGTCGGCCCATGGCTGGGGATGGGACTGGGAGCAGGGCTGTGTGCAGGGCCTCTGCTCTCTTTATACCCTCTGGCCTCTGTCCTGCCCACTGGGGAGGGGAACAAAGGCGGTTTTGGTGCCATTCACAGCTCACAGCTGTTGGGGGAGGATGGAGTGGCCACCCCCACTGCCTGGCTCTGGTCCCCAGTCTGGGTTCTCCTGGAGTGGGATCTCACTGGTCAGGCACCCCACTATTGCTGCGGTCAGTTGCTCCTGAAATAGTTGCTCCTCGGGGAGCACAGAGAAGCTTGGTGCAAAGGGATATCACCTTCAGCTGCTCAAGGAGAGCCATTTGTTTGCAAAGCAAGCACACACTTCTTTTCTCAGCAGATAAAAACTTGTCCCCATAAGCAGGAGATGTAGACTGGTGGGAATCAGGCAGCGATGACATTAGTAAGGGACAAAAGGGATGGCAAGGAATGATACTGATTTCTGGATTATTTTTTTTTTCTTTTCTTTGCTTGCTGTTAACTCCTCCTAAACACAGCACAGCCAGCTTCCCAACCAGCACGACCCTGGAAACCTCCCAGCCTGGTACTGCGGGTTGCCTGCATGCAGCTCTCAGGTGCAGAGGAGCCGGTGCTGGGTCTGACTGGATGCTCTGCAGAGCAGCAGCTGGGCTCATGTCTGGCACTTCTCCTTTGGAATTGTGCTTTCTCCCTCGCTGTGCCACTTCCCTTCTAGCAGGAGGTGCTTTCCCTTTGCAGGACGTCTGGTGAGCACCCCCTGACCTCCCACTGACTCGCTGTCACGTGAACCAGAGCTGGGATGCACAGTGTGGATGGCTGACCTCCCCAGTGTGCTCTATTGGGATGGAAAGGCCACAGTGCTTTGTGGGGTCCTGCTAGGAAAAGGCTGGCATCACAAATCCCAAGCGTAAGTACAAAAGGCTGAACAAAAAGAGAAAAAAAAGAAAGGCAGAGAGAGACTGCTGCCACAGCCTCCATGGTCAGAGCAGAGAAGCACTGCAGGGCCAGAGGCCATTCCACAGCTCCAGCCTGGCTGCTCCCTCACCAGCCCAGCACCTCCTGCAGCATCCCTGCTGTCTGGGGCAGCTGCTGCTTGCTTTGCTCCTTCCACACCTCAGGCTCAGCGCTGCCGTCCTCTGTAAAGTAAACCCACTCTGGGCTATTGACTCCAATCCCAGGTGCTGAGTGGCAGAGAGGAACCGATCTGTGAATCCCACCCACCTCTGCCAGTGGCTGTGAGGGGACGCATTGCCCCTGGAGCCCCTGCCGTGATGGGTTTGCCATGTAGACACCACTGCACATGAAGTCTTTGGAAGTCCCTGATATTTCTTGTCTTCCCACCTTCACACCACGGCTTTTGCAGATCCTTCTCTTACCTTGGCCAGAACCAGATGCAGCATCCACGCTTCTCCCTCCTGTGAGCCCAAATGGGCCTTTCGCTCCAACCCCAAAGATTCTGGTGTCGTGACATTTTTCTCTCCGCGAATCCCCTTTTTTCAACCTTAAGGAATGGAGAAATGCCTTGTGCCTGAAGGGGGACATCGGGGGGAAATCTGAGCAGCTTCTGGAGGAATGAGGAGTTTCTTGAGGAGGAAAAGCAGCTTTTGTCAGTGCTGGGAGGTGCTCGGGTGCTTTCTGCTCACCATGTGCTCAGCCTGCAGCGTCCCACCAAGCACACAGGGCAGCAATCACTCAGAAAGGCCAGCAGCTGCCCCTCACAAACATCTGTCAGCACAGCTGTGCTGTGAGGGGATTTGGGCAGGAAGGGCAGCAGCGCCCACAGAGATGGGCAAAGCGCATCCTAACGGGGCGCTCAGTGCCAGCCCCAGCCAAGGGGCACATTGCCACCTCCTGGCCAACGGCTTTGCTGTTAGGGCCGCCCCTTCCCCTCGGGGTCTCTGCCTTCTCTCTCCTTGGGGCCAGCAGGTCCCACCCTCAGCACTTTGTGCCCCCGTTGGCTGTGTCACTGCCAGGAAAATTGCTCGGGGTGCGGATGGTGTCGTTGGCTGGGATCCGGAGGGGTGACAGGTGGCAGTGGGATGGCACTGGTTGGGCCCTGAGCACCCACGTCTGACATCAACCTCCTGCCTCCCCCTCGCTGCCTCCCACCAGGTGATTTCTACCAACCCCTCTTCACAGAAGTTTTGCGACGACTGAGTAGTAGGAAAGAAAGGATTCCTTTTAAAGCCAAAGCCGCCCTTCGTTTGATGTCACTTCCTCTTTCTTGCCTCATCCATGAAGTGAATGCAGGGCAAGTGCTAAAAATACCTCTTCCACTTCCATGTGGAGCTGCCTTGAGGCAGGAGGAGGTGAGAAAGGGGATTCCCAGCCTGGGAAAGGCGTCCCCTTCTCTTCCTGGGAGAAAGTGCAGGGATGCACAGCTGGGAACAGGTTTGGTGTGAGAGCAGAGGGGGGGACATCTGTGAAGTGTGGCCTCTGCCCCAGCCCCCGTGCCCACCTCTGTCATGTCTTGGGGTGCGGCTGGTACCGGAGGTGCCCCTGTGCTGGTGGTTGTGACAATTGACTTCAGCCAAGCCACCTCCTTCCTCTTTCTGAGGTGTCAGTGACCTCAGCACAGGACGGATGCTCACACGGCTGCGGGAGGCAGCGACCTTCCCGAGGTGCCCATCAGCTGAGCTGCTGGGACACTGACACACAGTGATGATCTGTCCCCACTTCCCATGGCACTCGCTCAGCTCTGCCTGGGTCGGCAGCACCTTACAGCTGGGGACAGAGACCACGGGCGTGTGGCTGCTGTGGGTGCCGGAGCAAAGGGAACAGAGCACGTGGGGACATTGCCATGGGGTGACTGTGACAGAAGTGTCCCAGCACAGACTGAGCTCTGCTGCACGCCCTGTCCCCAGGGCACCAGGATGGAAGGCGGCGGGGTGGGCGCACCCAGCTGCACAACAGCTGTCTGCATCTGCACGGCTGCCCCTGAGAACGAGGCAAGGGATGCCTGGGAGCTGCCTTCCCTCTTTGCTCGCCAGCAGCTCTGTGGCTGCCAGAGGGAGGTGCAGGTCCCCGTCTGGCCCGAGCCCCAGCAAAGACGAAAAGAGTGTCATGCATGACACGCTCGACCTCACCAATGAGGCAGGAGTGGCTGGCGGGGGTGGCACTGAGTCACGCAGCAGAAGCGGTGGTAGGGAGTGATAATGGGAAGCAGCGGTGGCACCGTCCTGCGGGAGGGAGGGCACAGGGCAGAGGTCCTGGAGGACGTGCAGATGGGGACGGGACGGGGAAGAGGCACTGCCATCAGCCCCGGTCCCATCCCGAAGCCACAGAGCGAACACCACAGCTGCTGGAAACATAAATCCCACCTGCATGAAGTAGGGGGGTGATGGCTTTAAGATCAGCAGCAGCAAAAACTCAAAAGTAGGGACAGCTCCAGCAGCAGCTCTGCCATCGTGGCCGTGTGTGGCTGTGCGAATTGGGTACAACACAGAGTAGGAGCACAGCAGCCCCAAATGTGTGTTATCCTACAACAGAGCTGGGGGAGGTGTGGGCTGAGCTGTGCCCGTCAGAGGGGCAGCACGGGGGGGACTCTGCCCACTGCATCCCACAGCTCCCAGCCAGGCTCCTGATCCCATGGAGAAAAGGGGGCAAAGCTCAACTATGCCTTAACTCCGGTATAAGTTAGCAGAGCAGCCAGTTGCGAACTTCTGATAAAATCTCTTTTACTTTGAAAACAGCGTGATTCAGTGACATGTGAAAGGTTTCCACTGGAAAGAATTAGTTTTGCTGGATTTCTCAACTGATTCTCTAGAAAATCTGTAATGCCAGGGTCTGTCAGTGCCAGTACTCCTCTCAGACCAGGAATCGCACTGTCCCACAGCTGGGCACGAATCACTTTGACACAGCATTTTGACACAATCATTTCAGTTTGATATCAACCAAGAGAAAGCTCCTAACACCAAAACCATGGGGCTCTCCTGGGAGCAACGGTGGGACGCAGTCCAGGGAGCTGCTTGTTGAATCAGATACAGATGCAGAGGACCATGCACCGTTTCCCTGGATTGATTTCCACACCTCAGTCCCTCTTTGTCCTTCTTTGGTAGCTGTCCTTTACTTCTCAGCCACTTGGCAAAGCCAGCACCCATCTGCTGCCTCATCCATCCCTTGCTGACCCTATGGGTGCCAGCTGGGAGCCAGGCTGCCAAACTCACGGTGGTGGCACCACGTTCTTGGCTGCAGGGACAATTCCCTTCCCATGAGCAGAGGGCAGAACCTCTCCTGACACTGCTCATGGCCCTGCAGATGAGGCATCTCCCTCCCTGCAAACAATGGGCTGCAGGGACCCAGCTTTGTGTGCTGCCTAACCAGCGCTGGATGTGTGTGATCAGATCTGCAGAACACGCAGCGTGTTGGGAGAGGTGCCTGAAATATAATCATATTAATAGTAGTATTGACAACACACAGCTGCAGTTGGTTCTCCTGGCTATACTTTGGTGTCGCTGTGTGCTGGCTCCCCCTCGGCCACTCTGTCTGCCTGGGGCTGTGGCAGCAGGATGCCCATCCTGTGGCCCCGCAGCCAGCACACCCTGCAGCCCGCACACAGCAGGACACCCAGCAGGGCTGCCAGCACCAGCGCTGGGCTGCCATCCCAGGGCTGTGGGCACGGCCACGGCGGGCGGCTGCCGAGTGGTGCTGTCCTGTTTGTGATGCTGTGGTGGATGCAGCGTGCGCGGTGCAGGTCGGGCAGTTGCACGCCAGCTGCCTGCAGAGCATCCAACCAGCCCAGCTCACAGCAATGGAAGGGGTTCCCTGCCAGGCACAATGCCTGCAGGCTGCGGGTCCACCCCAGCAGTGCCTGCTTGGGCAGCGCTGGCAGCTGGTTATCGCTGACATCCAGGGTTTGCAGTGGGGAGCAGAACAAACCCGTGGGCAGAAGGCTTAGGCGGTTGCCAGAGAGGTCCAACACCCTGAGCTCATCCAAGCAAGGGATCTCAGCCCTGCTGTTGTCCATGTGGTTCCCCCGCAGCCAGAGCTGCTGCAGGGAGTGCTCCAGCCCCTCCAGTGCCACCCGTGGCACGGCCAGGCCCTGGTTCTCAGAAAGGTCCAAGGAGAGCAATGGGGTTCGGCTGAAGGTGCGAGGCAGCAGCTGGGTGAGGCTGTTCCTGCGAAGGCTGAGGTGCTGCAGGTGGGGGATGCTGTGGAAGGCGGTGCAGGGTTCTGCCCTTGCAGAGCCCCCTCCTGATATCTCCCCCATGTCACTCCCGCAGGGCTGAAGGCTGTTGGAGCCCAGGTCGATGGCTTCCAGCTGGGGCAGGGCATCAAAGAACCAACGAGGCAGAGCGCGGATGGCGTTGCCATGGAGGTCCATGGAGCGCACGGAGAGCGCTGCGTCCTCCTGCCACACAGCTGTGCCATTCCTGTCCCCATCCCCGTCCCTGGTCAGCAGCTCCATGGTGATGTTCTGGAGGCAGTTCATGGCCACGCTGAGAGTAAACAGGGAGCGCATGGCACGGAAGAACAGCAGCGGAAGCAGCTGCAGGCAGTTGTAGCTGAGGTCCAGCTCGGTCAGGCGGGCCAGGCTGGCTGCGGTGGCCAGCGAGGTGCTGAAGCTCACCATCTCCTCGTAACGCAGTGCAAACTGGGCTGGGTGGTGTGAGCTGGGGTCCAGCGAAGTGATGGAGTTGTGGGAGAGGTTGAGGTGCACGAGGCGGTGCGCGGCTGGGAGCTGTGGGAAGGAAAGCAGTCTGTTGTGGCTCAGGTCGAGCACCTGGAGCAGGTAGGGACCCTGTCCCTCCTCCCAGCCAAACAGTTCCAGGGCATTGTGGCTCAGGTTCAGGACTTGCAGCTGCCGCAGGCTGAAGCTGGAGAGGCAGTGCAGGGAGTTCAGGGCCAGGCTGAGCACCACCAGCTCCCGCAATGCCTCAAACGCTCCCTCCTCTATGTCCATGATGTAGTTGTTGCTGAGATCCAGCTCGCTCAGCAGCGGGGAGCCCTGGAAGATGCCCGCTGGCAGCTGGCTCAATCTGTTTCCATGCAGGTGCAGCGCCCGCAGTGCAGTGAGGCCACTCAGGAACCCCCTCACCATGTGGCTCTCCAAGCCATTGGCCGACAGGTCCAGCACCTCTATACCCTGCAGTGCACTGAAAGCCACTGCATTGTCCTGATGGTTTTGGTGCAGGCGGTTGGAGCCCAGCAGCAGCGAGTGCAGCCGTGGCAGCTGGGCCAGCACCGACCCTGAGATGGCTTCCAGGCGGTTGGAGCGCAGGTCCAGGTGCTCGAGCTGCCCCAGTGCAGGCAGGTGGCTCTCTGACAGGTTCTGAAGGATGTTGTGGGACAGATCGAGGTGCTTCACTCCTTGGGGAAGGTCCTTGGGAAAACTGTGCAGCCCAGCAGCCCTGCAGGACACCTTTGTGGGGCTCTACAGAGAAACGGGGAAACCCATCAGCAGCAGCCGGCACAGTTCCATGCAGAGGAGCTGCTCTTTGTCATCTGCTCTGTGCCTGCAATGGGAAGGGGTGAGGCCACCAGAAGCTGCTCGGGAAACCAGCATGGGATGGGCTTTCTGGGTGAAGGATCTTGCTTTTCACATCTGTTTTTGTGCGTGGTGCAATCTGCTGGTTTGGGTGCAGGTCATCGCCGGCACTCCTTAGCCTTAAGCCCTGGAGGATAAGTGAGGGAGCGGAAGGCAAAGCCTGCCTGATGGTGCTCCTGGATATGGGAGAAGCCCCACACTCTGGCCATGTAGGCTGTCCTCTCATGCAGTGAATGAAAAGTTAATGGCATCACTGACAGCGCTGCCCTGCAGAGCCCCTGTCCCTTCCTATCCCCTAGAAATGTTCTCATTGGTTTGAAAGTGACGGGGAGAAGCTGCGAAAGGCTATGGGCAAACAGCTTGAAGCCAGGGGAGCAGAGGGAAGCAGGAAGGTGGAGAGACAGGACGGGTAGAAGTGGAGGCTGGGTGAGGTAAGTGCCGTGGGGGAGAGGCATGTGAGATCTCCCTTTTGCTGCACAGAGGGATGGGTGCTGTGACCCAGCGCAGAGTGCTGTGACAGCCTCGGGAAGCGGCAGCCTTACCTGCTGGCACGGTGGAGGCCTGGGCTTCGCCTCCCCACCAGCCTGGGTCCTGAGGATGGCCAGCAGCAGGCAAAGCAGCAGGCGTCCTGCCCCACGGACACTCCGCATGGTGGCACCGCCAGCCCTGCTCGCAGCTCCACCGCTCTGCTCCAGCCCCTGCACACAGCCCCATAAATAGGCTGTGGCACGGACTGGGGAAGGAGATAGCGAGAGCGGGTGTCAGCAGCTGCGGAAGTGGGAAAGGAGACACATAGGAGCACGGAGGGGAAAAACTGCACAAAACCACAAGGAAGGGAAAGAGAAACCGCTGGAGTGGGGGGAGGCAGGGCTGCACGAGGACTCAGGTGATCCACTGAAACCACCGTGGAAATGAAGCATCAGGAAGGAACGCCGTGCTTGGGAGAGCAGAAGGCTCTGCAGGACTTCCCCACATAGAGCTGCTCTTCCCCTGCCCTGTGCCGGGGATGTGCCCACAGCCTGGACGCCCCAACTCCCACTGAGGATCCCAGGACCACAAGTAAGGAACAAATCCCCCTCCTGTGCACCCTGAGACACAACCACTGTGCTCTCACTGCTCAGCTCTTGTGCGGGGGGGGCACAAAGCAAAGCTCTGGGTGGGAGCTGGGGTGGACGCAGCCCTTTCCTTATCCCCAGCAGGGAGAGAGAGCTGTGCTCCTCAGTGACACATCCCCAGTGGGTCTGGAAGAGGCCCCTGGAAGACGCTGCTGTGTCTCAGCCTGAGCTGGGCTGCCTCTGTTATGGGTGCAGCAGCAGATGGTTGCTTTGTTCCTAGTTGCGCCTGGCAGAATGATAGATAACATTTTCCCCCTACTTGCACAGTCCATATATATGTGATTGTATCTAAAGACACAGCAGCCTGACTTTTCCTGGGGTTGCCCTTTGCCAGCTCATACCATGGAGAGCATTTTGTTGCCTCTGGGCTGCGGTTCCTCCTGGACAGACAGACAGAGGCTCTGGACCCACGCAGTGCTTTGGGCTCAGCCCTCCCCACCGCCCACAGTGGATGCACTCGGGCCAAGGGCAGCTGCAGCAGAACAACCCCTGATTGTTCTCAGCGCACATCTGTCCAGATGTGGAACCAGGCAGCTCCACCCAGGAGCCACCGGCCTCTGGCTGAACCCAATCATCCTCATCCCTCTGCACCGCGCATCCTAGGGAGCCCCAGCCATCACCCAAGCCCTGGGTACGGGTCTGCAGAGCACACAGGAAGAAGAAATCAGCCAAAAGTCCCAGATCAAAGGCAGGGACTGGTATGGAGAACCCCCGGCCGTTTGCATCCTACGCCTGTGAACTCCCCACGTCCCATCCCCTCTCTTTTGGGGCACTGCTGTAGGGCACAGCCTGCCCCGCTCCTGTCTGAGCTGGGGCTGCCACACCACAGGGCCCAGCCCCTCCGTGCCCAGCAACCAGCTGATAACCAGGGACGCCCAGAGATCAGGAAAAAGCTTTATTTGCAAAGAAAATATTGACAATTTACATAAACTTACATCCTAATTTATATACATTATGTATATTTTATATACAGATAGTGTCTTGAATAAAGATGTCGAAGCACAAAACAGCATTGGAATATCTCTGTGCAGCTCAGATAAACGGGAGTGGAGTTGGGCATCTTTTCCCACAGCTCCTCTCCCATTCCTTTTTGGTTGGGGGGTGAGGAGGGGCTTCCTTCCACCCCTGGAAGCCATGAGGGTGGGCAATGCGTGGGGCCAGGCCAGAGGGTGCAGCACCCACACACAGCTGTTCCTGGGCAGGGGAGAGCCCAAGAAATGGGACAAACCCCAGCTGGAGGGGCTCAGCCTGCAGTGCTGAGTGCTGGGACCGGTGCCTTCCTGCTCCCATGCTCTGAGCTGGGACAGCACGTCTGGATTTCGTTGAGCTGTGGAAAGAGCTCACCTGAGAGCAGCCCTGGGAAGCACCTGCCCTGTACCTCTCAGCCTGGGAAATACAACGCTCAATGCTAAGAGGTCAGTGCTGCAGCACTGATGGGCTGCTGGTGATGGCAGGAGCCCCTCAGCCCCCACCCTGGGTGAGGAAGGTGCTGGAGGAAGCACAGCCAGCACGTGTGGGTGCAGAGCCATGAGCTGAAGAGTGTGCTGGGGAGCATCCCTCCTGCAAAGGCACCCTGAACACAGAAGCAGAGCTGGCTTCCATACGGGCTGTCTCTGTACTGGGGATCTTCAGAGGGAGAAGGATTTCAGATGCTGAGTTAGATACCAATCGGCTGCTTGCTACATTTCTGCAACTGGAGTCCAGCCGAAGGCTGAGCAGCAGAGCTGAGGCACGTGGGTGAGGGCAAACTGAAGGACTGCTGGGAGTTCTACAGGAGAGACACCAGAGGGAAGGATGCAGCGAGGCCCTGTTCCTGCCGGAGCTTACAGTCTTCCACACCAATGAACCCCCTCCAGCTGTCCTGAGCTGCTTCCAGGCCCTTTGGCTCCAATGACGGAAACGTGCAGAGGCCCCAGAGGCGGTGGCACAGAGCAGTATCAAGCAGAAGCAGCTATACCACAGCCTGGGTAACTGTGGCATAGTACTGCATCCGTGAGAACGTGCTGCTGCAGCAGCCACAGGGTTTAAATACAAAGGACTCCACAGCTGCCAGGCATGGAGAAGCAAGGAAGGACGGCCACCTGCAGCCAGCAGCACCTCCTGCCCTGCTCCTGCACACATGCCAAGGGATCGTGGCAGCAGTGCCGGGGTGCTCACAGCAAAAGGGATTCTCCCTTTGCCTCCTGCTGCTCACAGGCACATTCAGAAGTGAACCACAGCTCCTGCCAGCAGGGGATGAGGAATGCCAGTGACATCCATCCCGCTCTCCCAAGCCATCGTGTTATTTATGCTTGCCCCTAAGCCTCGCTGCTCAGACTGTATTCTAAAGCAATCCTGTTAATGATTTGCTTCATGTTCTCACTATAAGAAGCTGTCCCGATTCATTCTTGTCAGAGGAACATCTCCTTCTTAATTGATTTTAAAGGAAATAAACAACAAAGGCTGCTTCAGTGCCCCTCAGGCTCTCGCTAGCCCAACATGTTAAGGCTAGAAAGGAGGAGAACATATTGAAAAAGAAATAGCAGGCAATTTTTCATGCAGTTATTTTATAAACTGCACGCCTCCTGTGAATAGCAAGGCTGAAGCCAAAGCCGGGTGCCCCCAAGAAATATTTATCTCCCAATAACTGCAATACTTGGCAAGTGAGATCACTCGCTACGGCCGCGGAGAGCAGCGGAGAGCAGCGGAGCCGGGAGCAGTGCGGGCAGGCAGAGCCTGCAGGGGCACAGCAGTGCTGGCTTACACTGCAGGTGAGCACGGCTGGGGCAGCCCTGGCTGTCACCCGGACCTCGGCTCCCCACGCAGCCGTTTGTGTTTGCCACAGGGGCTGCAATCGCACTGCCCTCCCTTAGCGAAGGCCGCTTACCCAAGGACACGAGCAGGCGCGCACCACCGAGCACCAGGGGCAATTCGTGCTCCGGCCTCCTCCTCAGCTCCAGCACAACTTCCAGCTTCAGATCTCACCACCAGCCGTGGGGAGGTGACGGGAGAGAGTTGCTCAAGAAGCCAAAAGAAACAATAGCGTCCTCGCTCCGCTATTAGTCACCAGAAATCGAGTTAGGACTAGACCCAGCAGGGCTCAGAGCAAAGAAAAGCGGTGACTTCATGCTAGACCAGGCTTTTTAAATACACATTTTTGCTAGAGACTCCATCGCTGCTCATTGGAGCAATTTAGGTAGGAGGGTGCCAACAGGGACGGGGTGTGGGGAGGAAGGATGAAAACCACATCTAAGAGCAGGGCAGCTGCTATTAAAACAGAAAAAATAATTTCCTGTTGGAATATTTTATTCTTAAACATGACAAACTTCTTCAGAGTGTTCTCACAAGTACTTGTGTCTGCTCTGCGTGCCTCTGGGAAGCCAGTAGAAAAGTGTTCTGGTTTGCAAAATATTAATTAAAAAGACACACATTAAAAAAGCCCGACCCCCAAACAAAAACCACCGGCAGCTGTGACAGCAGCAGTGGGTGACGGCAGCCCCCGGTGGGCAGCGCACAGCTCCAGGGTCACGGCAGGAGCTGGAAGTAGCAGAGGCTCTGGAACCAGGATTGTCTTTTTCTTTGGGACTTTGTGATTTCTGGAATGCAGAGGCGGTTCTCCGTGTGCTAAGCCTGCTCTATTCAGCATCCACCTTCCCCTCCACCGCTCTCACCGCCTGCTTCCCAGCTCTGCCTGAGGCACTTTGCTCTCCTTTCTCCACTCCTGAGGATGAATGTAAACACCACTGACTCTCACCCACCTCCTCTCGCGCCGCGCGCCGCTCCAGTTAGAACTGAGAAGGCAGGAAAGCAGAAACCCCCATCCTCGCTCTCATCAGCGGGCAGAAGCAGGAGCGCCAGGTAGGGCCGCCTGGCTGGGCTCTCTCCTGCTCCTGCCTGGGATGATGCTCGTGCTTAGTGCAACATAAAAGCAGAGAGCCACGTCACTCCCAACAAGCCCCACGTGAAGATCACAGAGCAGAATATCAGTGCAGTAATACTTGAAATACTGAGACAAGGCGGACACAACAGCCTTCCTTCCTCACCACGCTTTTTCAGCTAGCTTTTTGATCCGAGTCTCCGTGCAAGTCACAGAAGACATTGTGCTTCCTGCATTCACATATAGGAATAAATAGCTCTGGATCAGCTTTCCTTATGGCCGGATTACAGAACCCCCTGAAATACTGATACGCTTATGAACAGCAGCACGGTGCAGTTCTGTGAGTCTCCTTGGATGTGCCAAGTTCATCTAGGATGCTGGCGCATCTCCTAGGCGGATGGCCCCAAAGAAAGTTGTGTGCTTGCTCATGTTGATGGAGATGTCAGCGTGGACCATTTTCACAGCGATCTTCTGCCTGGCTTTGAGGAGGCAGACCCCGGCTGTATAGCAGGTATTGAAGTTGGTCTTGCCGGTCTCAATACTCCGAGTGCATTGCAGGAAGGGTTTCTCATCCACCACCACCTCATAGCTGGCAAAATCTGTGAAGTTTATGTAGTATACCTGATGTGAAGCAGGAAGAAGAAAGATTATTAGGCAGCGTGTTTGTGAAGCAGGAACA